CCCCGGGCCCCCGCCGCTGGCTGCCCGCCGACGCCCTTCCTGGGCCTCTGGGCTGCCCAGGCTGGCAGTGGCCTGGGAGTCAGTGGGCCCCAGCCTGCAGGGCTCAGGCCCCTCCCCACGCTTCTCGGGACACCTTGGCACCAGCACGCCTCGCACCTCCATTCACGGGGGCACTCGCAGGTCCTTCTGCAGAGTTGGGGACACAGGTGACACACCGGCTGTCCCACAGCCACCGCACGGGTCGAGCTGCGGCTCTGCAGCCAAGCAGCCCTGCCGGCCCAGCCCATCACGAAGGCCGGGCCTGCCCTCCCGTGGCCCTCTGGGTCTCCACCTGCCCGTGCCACGGAGGCCATGGCAGGTGGGCTGTGGGCGAACCGCATGCCCCAGGGCCGGGCAGCCGGAGCCTCAGGGTGGGGCCGGCTGTGAGCCACCGGCGGCCACATTCTCACATGCTGATGGGAGGCAGAGAGGGCCCCACATGCCCCCAGCCAGGACACCAGCCTCGGTGGTGGCGGCCCCAGGACAGACGCCAGCCTGGGGGTGCTGGGAGCCACCCCACCTGCTGCCTTCCTGGGGAGCTGCTTGGGGTGGAGCCTGTGGCACCTCAGAGCCTCCTACCCCCTACTCCCCTTCCCCCATGGTCAGCAGGTGGGCTCTGTGAGCCGGTGTGCAGGGAGCTCTGTGCCCAGAACAGGGCCTGCCTCACCCCCAGGCAGCTGAAGGTGCGCGAGGTGCGGGCAGCTGCCTGCGGGGTGGGAGGGGCGCTGGGTGCGGGTGGTGGTGGGGGGGGCAGGGTGGTGATCTGGGCGGCTGCCCACGAGGGGGTGTGTGGGGACACTTCGGAGGTGCAGAGCACAGGTGGGGGTGCGCGTGGGCTGATGCCCCCTGCAGGATCACTCATATGTAGCTTCCTCCCGCCCACGCGGGCGCCCAAGGCCCAAGTTCAGCTCACGGGCCACTGCCCAGCCGCCCAGGCCCCGCCCCACAGCCCGACCATGTTCCCGCCCCGTCAGGGCACTGAGGCCCCACCCAGCAGCCGCCGAGGCCAGAGCCCACTCAGCGGTCCAGCCCTGCCCACCCGCCAGATGGGAGAGGGGACGCCGGTGCTGGCCAGCCGGTGGCCTGGGGTGTATTCCTGCGGCTGGGCCAGGCCGCCTTGCTGCGTGGGCCTCTAGCTGGCGGCTGACCATTACTGTCGTGGCCTCTGGGTGCTGCCCACTGGGCTGCAGGGCAGGTCCATGTGGAGTGAGTGGCCGGTCGTGGCCAGTGGGCTGCGGTCCAGGCTGGCCTGCCCGGCCTCCCTTACCTGCCAGGGACACTCCCCTTTGGGGCACACCGTGCCCCCCACGATTCGCCCTTGGGGGGTGCTGCCGTTTCTCTTCTCCAGAACCGGGATTTTCCCACACGGATACTCAACTGCATAAAACAAAGTCCGAGGATGTGGTTTAGAGCAGCGCAGCGGGGCTGCAGGGAGTCACCGGGTGGCCTGGGGGTTGGGGGGGCTGGGGCCTGCGGGGCACCAGGGGTGGCCTTGCAGGAGCCAAGGGTCCTCCTTGCTGACACTGTCCTGCCCTTTCCGGAAGGCGGTGCTGGCCACGCAGCGCCTGGGCGGAGGGTCCTGGCCTGGCCGGAGATGGGGTGGGGACATCTGCCGCTAAAGGCACACTCCGGCGTCCCCACAGTGGAACTGCACCCCATTTGTCTGAGGTGTATTTGGGGCACCCCCCATCTTCCTCAACGCGCTCACCTTGACAGAAGGTTGGGGTCCAGAACTGCCCTGGCAACCTGACAGGTGGCCCCCAACCCTGCAGGGGGGCCTGGAGAGGAAGGGGGGGCTGGGCTTGGCACCCCGGGGCGGGGCATGGACGGGGCGCGGGGTGTGGCCCGGGGGTGGGGCGGGCTACCTGTGGGCGCACAGGACACCCCGTCGGGCCGCAGCGCATAGCCCGCGTGGCAGTGGCCGGGGCGCGGGCCGCCGACGCGGTCGCGGCAGGTCTGCTCGCAGCCCCCGTTCTCGTTGGCGCAGATCAGCCGCCGGTCCTTGTCTGGGCAGAGGGCGGGCGGCCTGCGGTGAGGGCGCCAGGAAGGGGTCCCGGGGCAGCACGAGTGTCCGGCTCAGCCGAGGCCGGTGCAGGCCAGCGAGCGGGGACCCCGAACCAGGCGGGCAGGACGCAGGGCCCCTCCGGAGGCCAGCTCGAGTGGCGGGGGAGGGGCTGGCAGCTCGAGAGCCCGTCCTGGGGAGCCCGTCCCGGGGAGCCGGGCCTGGCGGGGGGAGCCGGCCTGGGGAGCCGGGTTGCGGGGTTAGAGGGGAGCTGCCACTGAGAGGCGCATGCGCAGCCGCCTCCGGACAGCTGGCTCCGCCTCTTCCGCGGCGGCCCCGCCCACTCCCGGCCCTTGGCCCTGACCGAGGCTCCGCCCAGGCCCCAGAGGGTGCTGCTGCCCAGCGGGAGGCCTCAGCTCTGAGCGCTCTGGCCGGACCTCGGGGGCTGGAGGCTGAGGCAGGCCCTGGGTGGCCAGCCCCGGAGGCTCGGGGCACCCCCAGCGTCCTTCGGAGGGGGACGGGCCACTGCGGAAGAGAACGTGGGGTGGGGCTGGGCCGTGCACGCCGGGCCTCCTGGACAGGACAGGGCAGGTCATGAGCCTGCGGCCCTCACGTCCTCCCCGCACCACCCTGCGCCTGGGGCCCTGGGGGGCAGGGCTGGACTCTGTGGCACTGTCTGGTTTGGAGGGGCAGTGGCGGCTCTGCTAGGCGCGGGGGTGGTCACGGGGCCAGGGCCAGGCGGGCGGACATGTGGCCCTCTGTGCTGTGGTGTCGCCAGCCCTGGCCAGCCTGGTGCCCTGCGGGGGCTCACTGTGCCCCAGAGACAGGCTGTCTGGCCTGCGGGTCAGCAGTAGGCCCGGCCTGCAGCCTGGTGGCCTGGACCAAGCGGGCTGAGGCTCGCCCCAGCCGGGAGTGCCCACGCGCAGCTCTCACTTGTCTCGCAGTTGCGGCCCTCGAAGTCCTGGGGGCAGAAGCAGAGGTAGGACTGGAGCTGGTCCTGGCAGGAGCCCCCGTTCTGGCAGGGGTTGGAGGCGCACTGG